GAAATGGCACTGAGTCATTTCAACAACATCATCAGTCCACGTCTTGGACTCCAAGACAAATCATTTCAGTTTCGTTGTACCCCCGTGTTACAACGACAATAAAGACTATTCTCTTCTATCTGGGCGGCTGACGTAGAGCCTTTGTCAGCTTTGAACTCAGCAAACTGTTATTCAAGCGCTCATCTCTCTTCAAGGCCTTAAAGTCACAGACAGTCAAGTCACTTAGCTTTGTTGGACTGCAATCTGTCAACATTCAAAAGTAACACAAAACCATCACAGACAGTTGGTTTCTAACTGTACCACTCATTACTCCTGAGATGTACTTCAAATCTCCTAAAGTCAGTGGATTCACATTACAAGGTCTGTAGGTGTGGACAGACTGACCAACACGCCTAGACTGAAGGAAAATGTCTCTGTAAATAAATGAACAAGTGGACACACACTCCAAGTAAGTGGTGTATTATAACCACCAATAAACTGTCAACGTTTACTCCAGTTTACACATCCTTGTACAACAAACTATCAATGAATATCTTCAAATACATTTATTAGTCACTTATTTCTGTTGTTCTACTGGAGGGTCACCTCACATACATATATAACCAACGACAAATCCAAAAGTTTAAAGGACAACAATAACTCTTTTCTTTGTTGAAGACTTCCATTCGGTGACTGGACATGACATTTTCACTCAACAGAGGAGGTGGGCTAAGACACAACCTATCACCCACCTACTGAAACCATTCTGATGAGGATTACGACAGTAGGCAGCTGTACATGAAGGCCCAGAGTAGACTGTACTTCCTGCGGAGGCTCAGGTCTTTCAACATCCGCAGGAAGCTCCTGAAAATGTTTCACCAGTCTGTGGTGTGCTGGGGGAGCAGCGCATCAAAGATGGACGTACACAGACTGGAGAAACTGATCAGGAAAGTCTCGCTCTGTGGTGGCCACCAACCTGGACCCTCTGGGGACGGTGGCAGGGAAGAACTGCTCGCCACCTTGGACAATGCCACTCATCCACTGTGCACTGTCATCAGCAATCAGTGGAGTCTGTTCAGTGACAGGCTCCTTCTATCAAAGAGCAGGACCAACAGACTCAAAAACCCCTTTGTTCACTGGTTGGGAGGAGGGCGAACAAACCACTACTGGATAGGGGAGTAAGTGTCCTAATAACCCAACAATAATTTCAGTGCAATAACCAACAACATCTCCAAATACATTATTATTGTATTTCAACATACCATTGTATTTTTATTTTATATTCTATTATAAGTGTATGTCTGTATATATATATATACTGTATATGCTCACACAATGCTGACGTATGTGTATGTCTGTTCATATGTATGCATAGGCATATGTACTGTACGTATATATATATATATATATATATATATGCAATTGTATAACTTATATACTGTGTATAAATATAGTACTAATATCTATCCTATATATTAGTATATATACATAGTAGCTCTTAGTAATAATGGTTGTATAAATCTGGTCCGAAACTGCCTATATAGCTAACTGTTTATCTAAGTTATCTATTTAACTACTCAACTATTTATACTGTTCCTATATTTGAACTATTTATATACCTGTTCACATAACATCCTTATAATTATACTAGTTCTGCTTAATGTAGTATTGTGTAGTAATTGTTAACAATGGTATCACTGAAATATAATAGTAAATAATAGAGATTGCCATCAACAACAACACACCTACTTACCACAACAATATTTACCTACTAATTCTACTAACACTAATCTATCCATCTACTTCTACCAACATCCACTGTTCAGATTTCCCATATTTATTGACAGTGTTCTGCTCCTCGTGTATATTTTAATGTATTTTACCCATTTGTGTTTTTATTGTTGTTTTGGTGCTGGAACTTCTGAGGGATTGTACCGAGTCGGTCCACACGTTGGCCACCTGTGTGGAGAGACATTGTTGAAGATAAATCATGGCTTCTCTTCACAAATTATTAGTTTGCTCTGCATTACTGGCGCCACCAATAACCTCAGGAAGAAATCTATGTTGCACTACTTTCCTTTTAATTTTAATGAAAATAAATCAATTCTACTGGCCCAAGTCCCTAAGGCCTAAGATTTTCACATCATACACACTATAGAGCATATAGCCTTATGTTTGTTACACAATTGCAGAGGATTACTCTGCTACTTGACTAGCAGAGTTGTGTTGCCATTTGTAGCTTCACTTTTTTGGAAAGTTTTATTTTTGGAGACTTTTTCAAGAATTTATTAGTATAGTATTTTACTATGATCAAAAGTTGACATAACAAAAACTTATATTTTTTCTTAATTATAACCACAAAAATGGACAAAGCTAAGTATTTTGAGGCTCAGGATCTTATTAGCATCGTATTTTATTGTGATCAAACGTTGGCGTACCAACTACTTTATCCCTCCCCCTAATCCCAACTAATCTATCCCTATCCCAACCCTAAGAACTGTACCTCAGTGTCCATGAGCACTGGCTTTATTCCCAAATAGGTCTCATGGACATCCCTGGTCAACCTGGGTCAACCTCTGTGTCTGGTTGTGAAGGCCTGGACGAAATGCAGATGCCACCGGTCTCTGGGGACAAAGAAGGTAAAAACAGGACGTGTTTTAGTCTTAAGCAGATATTTGCTGTGTTTAACAACCCTTTCTGTCCATCTTCATTATTAATGTCCAACAGAAAAGACATCTCATGTGCTGGGCCAAGACAAAACGTTCTAAGACAGAATCTATGTTGAACTAAAACACATGATAGACCTGTTATGTTTAATTTGATCAGGTTTTTTACTCCTTTAAAACTGTTTAAAAAAAAAATCAGAACAAAGATGTCATTTTAACTGGTCTTCAATTTCAAGTGCTGCAAATGTTTTATCATCTTCTAAAATTATAAGAACATTTGTAGTTTTTTTAGTTAGTAGCAAAGAAGGAGATTGCAACCTAATGCAAAAGTCAAAAGTCTCTATAAATAAGTTTTTAGGCTCAGTCTGTTTTAGAACTTTTTACTTTTTTATGACAGTCCCCTCCATTAAAGTACCTGCTAAATGCATGAAAATATAAATTCTTTTAACTAAATTTATATTTACAACTTTTTATTTTCTTATAAAGTACAAAGTCTATAGGACATGGGTGTAGCCACAAGATTAATACAATTAATATTTTATTTATAGATTACAGAATTTACATCACATTCACATTATTATACGTAGGCAGCGTCAAAGGTTCGACTGTAAACAGCTATTCATAAACAAAGACAAGGTGGAGCAGAGCTGCTGGCAGTGAGCAATGAAACTTTTTACACGGAATATTAAATTTCATATCCACATCACAAAATGTCAGTGATGCTTTTAAACTAGAATGAAGGCACATTGTGGTACACTTTCAATTTTAGTGACTCATCAAACCAGTACCTTCAAAAGGTCAGAAGTTTATTATATGTAAAGCATTAAGAATGCAAACATAGTGATGATGATGACAGAGACCAATACAATCATAATTTACATAATTTTTTAACAAGAGCTGCAGCCAGATTCTGAAATACACAGCGCCCCGGTGTGGCTGGTAAATCAAATTCTACGACATCACACGGGAACCTGTAGAGCAACTTGTAACAACACTTTACCAGCAACTGTGCAACCTGTGGTCTGTCTTGAATGTAAGCTGTTTAACATGTGTGAAATATGTCTCATTTTTACCTGGGTCAGTGTAAACAGGAGTGTTGTCACACCCACAACTTCCGCCGTTGGCCAGATGTCGGTACAGAGCATAAGCGTGGCCGGACAGCCACACACGTCTCCATCATGATAACTGACGACGTACTGTTGACGAGAGAAGAGAGTGAAAAAAACCTTAATGACAGCTTAAGACGTACTGGTGCCAAGAGCATACTGATATGGTAGTAGACGCTGTAGTTCAGCCTGAACAATACAGTCAGACAGTCTTTTTACAAACTCAGAGAGAATACTACAACTCTTTAACTCTTAACCCGTTAATTTGTTTATAAAATCCAACAGTATATTTGACATAAAGTCAGAAAATCAACAACTGAAGCTCCACCTGGACCACAACTGTTACTACATCACCTCTTGTGACTTCCATACACACTCTAGGACGACTAAATGTTTGTTTTATCAACGAGAGCAATATATCCAGTTTAATTTAAATGGCGTCTCTTGTTACGCATGCGCAAATTATCGAGATGACATGACGTAATTTTAAAGGTGCCGTACTTCAGATGACCGTTAATGCAAAGGGATTTGTAGATGTATGCGCAAAGAAATAAAATAGATAATTAACAACATTACACAAAAACATAGAATATAAACATAAAGCTACAATGTTGTGGTATCACAGTACAGTCAACTCGGAAGAAATGGCATTTAACCCGAACGAAAAGCAGACTGTACAATTGAACTTATGAAATTACGTGATTAATAGAAACTAACAGAAATTCATCTTCAAAGTTTAATTCTTACCTTTCGACCACATTTGTCTTTTCTGGACAAGCCACCCGCCGTTCATTGAGTGTCCACAGAGATGAAAACGCTGCACCGCACACTCACAGGTTAACTTGCCGCCAAAGAAAGTTTATCGAGAAAAAAAAAAAACTAACGCACTAGTGCCCACAAAATGGCTGAATATCACACAAAACCGCTTCATTATGTAATTTAAACGTTAAAGGCTTGTTTGTATCAAGTTATCTTTCCCCTCGTGACGTCCACACACACACTCGACGACGACGACAAAATGTTTGTTCGACAAACGAGAGCGCTCATTTCCGGTATAATTTAAAAGCTCTTGCTGCACGTGCGGAAACCAGAAAGGGGAAATGACGTAATTTTAATTAATATGTGAACGAATTTCTAGATCGGTGTGTAAAATAAATACGAATTAAAACAAATTGTTTAATAATTAATAAATAAATTAATAGATTACTAGACAAATAAAATAAAAACAGAAATAAATAGGGAACATATGAGAAGTTTATTAATAACATTTTAGATCTTCAGTCACATCCATCCACTAGGTAGTGGGTTTCAAATGCAAATTCTTATATATTGAATTTTTAATTTGCATGCAATTAACTTCGTCACAAACACGTGTAAACAACACAACACAAATTAAACAAGTATATGAATTCATGATAAATTAAGAAGAATTCCAGCTCTAATTTGCTCACAAATGCTACAATTTTTTGCCCTTTTAACAGTCTATTATGTCCCTCCTCCTAGATAGTAGCAAGCTGGCTGGAAGTGAAAGCTGAAAGCAGTTTGGAGATAAAGTTAGTGATTGTTTATGTAAGAGCGAGGGTTAGAGCGAGATGGGGGCAAATGCTGACACATTATTTATTTAACATCGTTTTTATTTAACAAATTCTTATATAATAATCTACAGTAGGTGTTGAATAAAAAGTTGGAGTGTGTGGTACCCCCTAGAGTTGTCTCGTTGACGATCGTTATAAGGTCCAGCTGTGTGGATTTGAGTCTGAGCCTAAAAAAACGAATGAAAAATTCATGTGGACACCTTGTCAGGTCTAATCCGAGTCGAATCAGTCCAGTCGCTGTGTAGAACCACATCAGGTGGACAAACCCACACAGCAATCATATTTTATATACATATAGCCCTGTATATATATGTTTTATTGATTTGTAAAATTAACACTAATCCCATTTCCATTTTAGCTTTTACGAAAAATAAACCCTACATTAGGGTGCCACACATACGGCCCTGAATTTGAATTTTGAAGAAAATAAAAAAAAGAGTACAAATATATAGACTATATTTTCCAAACTATATTTTTTTCATCCTTTGACGCTGACAGCTGCTTGAGGGCACTCTGGGCTTGTGTACCAGTATCTGCTACTCCTGTACCACTGAAAATGTACATGTTGCTGGCTGGCTGGTGCGACTTATGTTCCAGATTGTAAAATTATATTTCGTTAGATTTAAATACATAATAATAATAATAATACATATCTAATATACTTGTACTTCTTTGTATGAAAACAAAGGGGAAAAACATAGACCTGATATTATTTATAAATATTTATATCCTGATTGTACCGGTCCGGCCCACTTGACGTCTAATCAGGCCGTATGTGGCCCCTGAACCAAACTGAGTTTGACAGCCCTGCTTTACACCTTCATGGGAATGCTGAAGCTGGAGGAACAGGCCAACTCTAGTGGAATGTAAAGCTAAGTCTGTGAAGACTGTCAGACGTGGCCTTGCTTGTTGTTCCTCGTGTCAAATACAATCTCTCTTTCTGACAGGTACCTAACTCCTACAAGTACTGCTGTTGACTCGGTAGATAACTAGAGATGTTACTGGATACTCTCCTCTGAGCTGTTCGCTAAGTCGTTTCCTGCAGCGGTTTCAATAAATAAACTTTTTACGTGCTCTCCTGTGACGGGGACTAATGGACTAATTTAGCTTTTGTTTTGTTGTGTTGTGTTATTTCATTTTTCACGCTCCTTTTCTCCACGGAAACATAAAAGAGTTCTGATGTTTTCTTTGCGTGTGGCTTGTTGGCTGGTTTCAAATTCCTAAATGTATTATTATGTCATCAATTCAGCTTGGAATCAAATCAGAAATCTGTGCTAGATGTTACGCATGTATCCTCTGGGATCTGAATCACTCGGTCCGTCGCTACACCGAAACATTCGTCTCATTCACTTGTTGAACAGATACCCTCTCACAAAATTGGGCTCGTGATTCTTGATTCATTTAATCATTTTCCCAAGGATTTATGAGGATGATGTCTTTAGTCAGAACTGTCATCCTGCATGTCTTTGATGCTTTATGATCCGTGAAATAGACCGTTCTCCTCTCCTGTCTTCTTTCCCTTCCACTTCCCCTTTCCCCTCCCTCCTCTCCTTTTCCCCTTCTCTCCTTTCCTTTCCTCCTTTCAGGATATCATCAGTGAAACTGTGTCAGTTCGATCAGTTTTGACCTTGTCTCCTTCTTGGATTCCTCCTCCAATTGCGACATTCTTTACGAATTCACTTCAGACTTCTGCTCAGTCACATTCACCTGTGACGACCATCTTTAACTCTCCTACGGAGGCCAAAGCGACAACGACAGTTGTTGGCCTGCTGCCGAGGAACAACCCAAACCCACTTGACCTTCAGTGTATTAATGTGTGCCTTTGTGAAAACGTATCACATGAAGCATTTGTTTATTTGTTAAGTGTCTCAAAGTTACCGCAAAGCAAAAATCAGGGGCAACGGCGAGTGGGGATTTATCTCAATTTCAGTCATTAAAGTTGACAATGCATCACTGTGATCCAGTTAGTGGACATGGGCGAAGAGGATAGCGCCGAGGCGCTAGCTCAGGCGAATTAGCAATGAACGGGAAGTGTGCAAAGAGCTAAAGAATAGAATGTTTAAAAAAAGGCGTCTGGATTGAGAAAAATGACTCCAAAGCAAAGCGCAGGCATCTCTTTCATCTGGAGGCAAACTTGAACTGCTCTTTCATCATCACTGTGAAGACTGTGCATGCTCCGCGTTTACCTGCGGGGAAGAATCACGCACTCTACTTTCAAAGAATATACCCTATACTTCTCTTGTTAGCGCTCCCTCCTGGTTCCTGCAGTGTTTGGAAGCAGAGAGACGAGTCATTAACGGCACCACGCAGCCACCCACCGAGAGGAACCCGGGCAGGTGACAATTATTTACCCCCAAATTAGCCTTGTTATTGAGTCTGATGAATGTGTGTGGAAATTAAGGTTGAAGGCTGTGATTGGCAGGCTCACAATGGAGCTCAACAAGGGCACAGGAGCGTTTGAAGAGCGGCTCCACCGGAGGCGGGAGGAGCTGCGAAGAGCTACAGTTTAGTTCAAAGACAGCGCTTTTGGTTTTGCCGTCACTGCAGCTCCAGTCGAGTTTCATCAAGTCACTTATAGTATATAGTTTACTGGTGTTCCTCCAGGAAATGGAAATATCTGTCCCTGGGTGGCGCTCTGGTCTATATCCTAAGAGATTACAAACATTCTTGATTCCAAGAACAGAGGGGGAAAATAATTAGGGCACATCTGAAAATTTGTTTATGTCCAAATACGGCTCCTAGGGCAGAGGTCCCCAACCTCCGGTCTGTGGGCCGGTGCTGGTCCGTAGGTTTCAAAACAATAGGTCATCCAGACTTAGATACTAACAGGATAAAGTCTAAAACAGGGGTGTTAAACATAAGGCCCGTGGGCCAAACCGGCCCTCTTGGTGGTTCAATCCAGCAAAAATGCAAAACCACTGTCAAGTTATATTTCGTTGAATATGAATATCTACGCTCTGTGTCTGTTTTGCTTAAATTAGCTGGTATAAAAATGAAAACACTTTTAACTGATCATTTAATACTTCAACACACACAAAAAAGCACAAAAACCATAAGCTGCAACCAAAACTTAATTGTGTTAATTAAGCTAGTACATAGCCAACCTTTATCCACCTAACCTTCTGATTAAAGAACCATGTAGCATGTTGCTTGTTTGCTAATTCTCTATTTTGATTGCCTGTTTGAATTTTTTGTTGTAAGTTGCCGGGAAACTATTTTACTAAAGGTAACGTGTTTGTCTTTCTTTTTTTCTTTTTTTTTTAAATAAGGTCCATGAGTGAAAGTATGCCACACATCGTTTGTAAATATATAGTGACGTTATCTTTAATATTGATAACAACTTTCCTAACGTTCCTAGGACTCATCTGGCGTTGTCATGGCGCACAAGTGTCATTTGTCTTCTTTGATGGTTTACTGATCAAATACCTGTAAAACAAATGACACTTCTCTCGAGCGCTGCTGCACTTTGAATGCGGCCCACATCGCGAAAAAACACTGACACATCAAAGACGTCTCTTAATGTTAATGTTATTTGTGCAAATCTGACGGCTGGAACATTTGGATTTATTTTTCTCTTTTTCCTCTAATCTTGCCTCCCTAAATGTCTAAAGGAGTGTCACAAAATCCTCAGACAAGTGATGTTTTACCCTGAAGATAAAACATTGTCAGCCTGCGGAAAAAAAAAGTATCTTTGAAGACATTTATGCTGCTGCATCTGTTTATGCCAGCGCTCCTCTTCTTTGTGTTGATTTCGTATGGAACGGTGTCACATCTAATTACCTGCACTCCAGAGGTTATTTTCCTCTGCCAGGTCTTTGATTATTATCAGATAACTCATAATGTACTAAAACAGCTTCGGTGAAGTGTTGTGTAGGTGTGAGGCTCAATCCAAGGATGACGACAGTTAGCATGTGCTGAAAAGTTGAGGTTCATCTGCAAGATCTTAAAAAAACAAAAACAAAACAGCTCTCTGATTGCATAAGTGTTTGTGTATTATTTGATTTAGTAAAAATTCATCGAACGGGCCGAATTGAAACCCCAAGCGGGTTTGTTACTCCTGTACCACTGAAAATTCACATGTTCGTTATTTTCACACTGACAGCCGCTAGAGGGCGCTCTAGCTGGCTAGATATGATGTATACATATATCTATGTGTATGTATTTATATATATACACATATCTACGTATATATGTATATATAAACATTTAAGCAAACTTCAGGCTTTGGTTCATGTTGCGATTTAAAAGAAAAGCAACTCAATTTTAAACTAGATTGAAAGTGAGGTTTGTGCAATGGCAGACATCAAAATCTAATATGCAGTTGTAAGTTTTCATCTGCCGTTGAGAAAAGATAAGTGAAATGACTCCATCTCTCCCAAACTGGCGCCCACATTTTTGTCCAAAAAAAAAAAAAAAAATAAAAAAAACAACCCATGAATAATCTTCGGCCGTGAAATCGCTCTTTGTTCAGTAACGGCAGCTATTGCATTTCTGCAGACCGCACATTGCGAAAATGTACTAATTCCAAGTGCTTTCATCGCTGAACTTATTCTGTCTTTATTGCCCAACAGTCTCAAAATGCATTTTTTTTTTTTTTGTGTGTGTGTCCGTGAGTCATCCCCGGTTTGATTAATGCGATCGGGGAGTTGTTACAGCGCCGGAAGGCTCCGAGGTGTCAGCCGACTCGGCTGAATATGTGAAGAGAACTAATTGTTTGTTTATGATGTGAAATATTAATAACACTGAATATATGAGTCTGTCAGGCAAAATCACCATTTGGGACAAATATGCACCGGGGTTTGGCGTAGCTGCGCATCCGTTGTTAACGGCGTCGGCAAGTGTTGATTTGGACTTTTGTGGAATTCTATTCTATCCCCGCCAGAAGCAGAGAGTT